GTATCATTCCATGATATCGCACTTGATCGAGTCTTCAAGTGATTCAAGTGCATTGTACTTCAAGGTTGTTTTGTCCCCCATCAGGAGGAAGACTTTGATGCTCCCCATGTGGATGTGGATGCAGTGAAGGCCAATCTGCAGGAGCTGAAGGGCAAGGCTAGTGAGCACTTTGAGGAGATGAAGGGCAAAGCGACGGAGCAGTTCGAGGAGCGAAAAGACGAAATGCTCCATGTTTTGTGTCCGCCCGTTCTGTCACTGCTGGTGTCCGCCCTTTTCCGCTGGCCATGCAGCATTTCTATTCATTTGTCTTCCAGGTGATTTCTTTACTTCCCCAAACAGGTTACTGTTAGGGGGTCTCAATGCTTTCTAAGGGTGTCCGCCTTTCTGCCGGACAGCGTGTCCGCCTTCCGTCCGGCTTGCCACCCTCTGTCTCCCTTCTTGTTGGCCATTTGTGTCCGCCTTGTTTTCCTCCTGTCTCCCTTTGTCTCCGGTCTCCCTTCTTGTTGGTCATTGTGTCCACCTTGTCTCCCTTCTGTCTCCTTTTGTCTCCCTTCTTGTTGCGCGGTGCCAACCTCTGCCTTGCAATCCTTTCCATTTGTCTCCCAGCTCTGGACTGCTGTGTTGCAGTCCTGTACATGTTTCCCAGCTCCGGACTGCTCTGGGTTGCTGTGTTCGCCTCTCACTTGCAATCCTTTACAATTGTCTCCCAGTTCTGGGCTGCTGTGTCTGCCTCTGCCTTGCAATCCTTTATTTGTCTCCAAGCTCTGGGCTGCATGTCGCTTGCAATCCTTCCTTTACACCTGTCTCCCTGTGTCTACATCTGTCTCCCAGCTCTGGACTGCTGTGGCCGCCTCTGCCTTGCAATCCTTTGTCTCCCAGCTCTGGACGTCGCAAGCTCTAGTTGCAGAGTGTTCCGATTTTGAAAAACACAACCTGTTTGGGGTCTACGGTGGTGTAATTTAAAAACAACAACTTGACTATAGTGACTATAGGCATAGCGGCATAGGTATGTCAGTGGAACACATTTTGACATCTGGCAGTCTGAAAGAGATCTTCGGACCAACAAAAACAGCCCCAACAGGACCTGAAGGGAAAGGCCACTGGACACTTTGATAAGCTGAACCAGCAGATGGCTGGACACTTTGAGGTGGGGCAGATGGCAGAGGGCTTTGAGCCAGAAAGGGCAACTGAGGCGATAAGATACCATAGATTCTGCAATCGATCAGAAAGCATACCTTGCCAATATCATTCATGGTAGATAAAGCCATAGCCAAGATTGCACTTCTGCTGTGTCATGCCCTTTTTTGTTGGGCTCTTCTTTGCGTGCCCGTCGGGCTCTTCTTGGCGTTGTCACAACAAAGGGTGTTCGGGTCGTATGCCTGTTTTGGTGTGTGATATCTATAAGTACAGATGTGTAACTGTAGAGATGCGTGTAGGTACGATATGAATACACACATATGCATATACTTACACGCACACAGAGACACATGCACCTACTGTTCATTGACACAATCAGAGTGCTTGAGCAGGAGCTGCTAAGAAAGAAAACAGAATAGCAGTAGGGTAGTTCCATAAGATTTTTAGCATCCCTATATTTGTCTGTTTCTGGATCATACATTTCTTCCAAGAATTGTTAGCACAGCCGGGCCACATGGCATGAGAAGCCGGTCTGGTCGGTCTTCTCCCAGGACCTCCAGGGGAAGATGTCTGGTTGGAAGAATCCGTGGCGACCTCAGAGCCAATTGGCTTCATTCATTTTGGCTGAAAAAGCAAGCCTGGTGGTCCGCACCGAAGCGCGAGTCGACGCGCGAGTCGACCTCCATTGTTTTTTTGGCAGTTTTTTTTTTCCAGACTTTCCGTGCGTCTGACCATGCATGAAAGCCATACAGCTAGGCTGGGAAGCTGACCCTCCGAGAGCGGCTCACGTTGACTCACCTTCCTTTCAGTGGATCTCATGGAAGACGAGTCTTCAGACTCTCGGTTCTCCACTTCGCCATTCTCCACGTTGACTCGCCTTCCAGTTCCCGTTCTTCGACACCCCACGCCACGGCGCCCTCTCCACGCCCTCTCCACGACCCTTCTGCGACCGGTCCGGCGAACTCGCCGGTTCCGCGAGGTTTTCCTCCAGCGCCGGCAGTGGGGAACCCGCTGATGGCGGAGAGAGCAGCGAGGCAACACCGGAACACTTCTTAGTTGAGCCCCCCAAAAGGAGGCAACGGCCTTTTTTCTTTTTTAAAAGCAACCACCGCACCACGCGTTTGGACCATTTTTGGTGTTTTTTTTGAATGCTTGTTGGATCGATCGTGCACATTCCTTTTTGACTGCGTTGCCGTGAGGCGAAGCCATGAGTGATCTTGAGGGCACAAGTGTTCCTTCGCTCGGAGGAAGAGAGCTCGTCCAAGACCCCCCCAAAAAGGTGCTCCTGCGTGACACCGCGGGCGGTCCGATCTGTTTCGGGAGTCATCTGTCTAGCTGTTTGGCGCGTGTTTCCCTGTCCGCCGTTGCAATGGTCAGAGGTGAGTCGGCAGTGAAATGTGGATTGGGTGATCTATGAATTTTCTCGAACGGGGTGGATCCCTTGGCACGGGGGAAGAGGTTAAACAACTTTTACTTATCTTCAAGTGGTTTCACGATATTTCCCGCTTCCTGGACAAATCCGAGTAGAGTTGCCAGCTGCGAGCCAGTTTTTCTTCAGCAATGGTGAGCCAAAAGGTGCACGAGTTGGAGGCAACACTTTTGAAAGAAGGCAGCGGACAATTCGAGAAAAGCACATCCACTCAAAAGCATGGAAACTGTGTGGATGGAGGATGACTTATGCTGTCTTCAGCATGAGGCCTGGTGCCACTTGGCGACGCTGCAGCGAAGTCTCATGGAGGTCGAAGTCTTGGCTGACCAACAAAAAACAAGGAGAACGTGGCAAAGTGAGGTGGTTGAACAGTAGTTGGGCATTTGTGCTGCCTTGAGCTGGTGTGACAAAGCAAGGATAGTTTAGATTAGTTTAGCACTTGTGCGACACAGTCTTGTGGTGGTTTAGCATGAGCACATCTATTTGCCGCATGTGAGGCTCCAGTTCCAGCATCGCAAAGACCAACGTCATCAACAGCGTGCAGGAATGGTGATTTTGTGACCGCAGAGTTTTGCCATCTTAACCAACATGTCAACACATAGTGGTCCCACATCGATAGAACATGTTCCACGTAGAATTTTGAATAGAGATGAATAGAGTGTTTTCCCAAAGATACTGCTTAAGCAAAATCATATGATCATATTATGATCCAACGCCTTCCAAACACATGTTCCGAGCTTCTTTTTCTCTTCTATCCACTTTGGGCTCATCGCACCTTCCGCCTTGAAGGAGGGTGATCTCGCCCTGAGTGGAGGCGACAAGGACTGGGCCTTCCGCACGCTCAGCTTCTCGGAGAAGAAAGAACACCAAGATAGGGCAGTGGGTGAGGGGAGGATTTATCCCACAAGTCCTAGTCTGCTAAACCTCCTCCTTTCACAGCCTCAGTTGCCAAGCTCTAGAAAGTTGAGGACACTTCATTTGCTAGACACGGTTGAAAGATGTTGAAAGGCAGTACTGGCAGTGTCTTCAGACAATTTGAGTGTGCAAAGTCAACCACTGGATTCTTTGTGCCAAGGCCAGGTCTTTCTGTCAGAAGCTAAGAGATTTTGACCAGCGAATCCACCTGGCGATTGCACGAAAAGCGCGAAGAAAAGCGAACATCTGGCAAATTCAATGGAATCCTTCAAAGGAAAATCTACAGGAAACCACGGCTTTCACCACCCATACTGTCAACAGTATCACACCCCCAGAACCATCATAATGGGTTTCCTGTAGATGTTCCCTTAAACCAATTCTGAGACCAAACAACACGTGAGGTCCGCCCTTCACGCTGCCCCTCACGCATGTGCGATTGATCGCCTGCCTTGTTCGGAGTTGAGCCATGTGTGGCTTTGACGGAGGTTCGGAGCTCTCTTGGCGTGGCTCAAGTACCGAACTCGTGAAGAAGTTGAAGAAGAGGAGCGTGTTTTTTCCAATGTTATGTTTGATGAGATCAGCGGCCCGACCCTGTATTTTTTTGTTTTATTTTTTTCATACATCACACGGATGGGAGAAAACGACGATCGTTTGTCTTCGACGTGGAAAGATTTAGAGGATCGAAGTGAACATTGGGGGTGCGACATTCCTTGGGCCGTACTCGCATGCCATTGGGGGTCGTGTCTGACTTTCACATCAATATAGTGAATCATGTAGTGTAACTTTGTTTCCTGACCTGGCTTACTGTCATTCCTGGAGATGAATCTATGGCCTCAGTCTATATATATGTATATAATTCATTTGGGATCCCACTACGAAGCAGTGGTTTGTTTGCGGTGAGGTTTATTGGGATTGGCAAACTGCACACAACGTTTGAAAAGCTTTTCTTAAATTGGGAGCATTTTCTTAAATTAGTCGTTTTGTTTGTTGTTTTTGCGATTGGTTCTTTGGATCATTTTAAGTTAGTTGGTAGATGTGAACGATGGAGTCTCCCAAGGACACCTCGAAGTCACAAAATAGCAGATTTGGGAACCACACCTGTTGGGCTGCCCATGTTTTTGGTGATGCAGGAGTGTAGCCACACCTCCTGATGGATTCTTGCAGAAGAGCAACCACTTGGAAGTGTCGGCCTTAAAGAAATGGAAGACAAGAGACAGCCGCGGGCGACCAAAGCACAGCCGTGTTCGCTTAGATTCATATCATAGAGATATTATGAGATTTGCTTTGCCTACAGGAAGAGAGGTCCAGTCCTCCCGCAACATGGTTTGACCGATTCTGACAGCTCACTTGGTTGGAGATCCCTCTCCTATAGGGGAGGTAAGCTTTGACATGGATATGATGAAAAGCCTCGACAGGCTCCTTTTAGTGTACAGGGACGAACATTCGAGTCCCGTTTGGTGTTCATGCACTGGGTTTGGATCCACTGCTTCAGTGGAGCCCTGACTCTACTTCGCAGCCTTCTGGCTAGAAGTGCTTTCTAGCTAGCTCATCTCCTGGTGCAATGCAGCTCATTTTGACTTCGACGTTTTTGCTCCTGGCCGTCGCCAGGTGAGCTCCCTTGTGGATGTAGCGAGTTCCGCTCGTGGTTGGGATGATGAGAGGTTGCAAAAGTTGGAAGTAGAAGACAGATGAGAGGTTGCTCCTTGTATTCCTCGTGGTTGATGCGTGTTGATGCGACATCTGCAGGTTTTTTTTTAAATCTTTTTCCCCCAAGCGCCACGCAAGCGTTGCGGCCACTTGGTCAACCAGTATAAGTCCACATGTCGAGGTGTCTTTTCACCCGTGGCCATGGGCAGGTTGACCAGTTTTTCCACCCCTTCTAGAGGAATCGGTTCAGCCATGACCCGGGGTCTGGCCCAGCCTTCCGGTGCGAGTCAGGGCGCGCCCTCACGACAGGCCGTTCCACAGCGGTCACCAGTCCCTTGCTGTGGATCTGGTGGGGCGTTCTCCAAAGGCCTGGCTCTATGGAGGTGCTCCAGGACCCAAGTGCCATGACAAGAAAGTGGTGGACTCCGGCAGCGAGGCTTGGCAAGGCAGATTGGTCCTCTTTCTTTTGCAGTTGTTTCTCCAAACCTTTTGTGCAAGGTCCCCAAGGTTTCAATCTCTTGGATCGTCTTGCCGAGCTGTTCAATCCAGCTCCAAGAGCTCCAAGGACAAGTTTGTGCAATGCCCCAAAGATTGCCCCATCTATGCGGACGACCGTGCTGATGGCATCGACTGCAACTTCGAGTGTGTGGAGGCGACGAATTCGTCGGTTTTCGACCCGCGTGGCGATGCGGCGGCAGTCCACCGGTGCACGACCGGGCTAGTGGATGTGCCGGATGTGTTGTGGGATCGGATGTGTTGAGAGGCTCACGGCCGTTTGGTATCTCTTTGGTCTCGGAGAACAGTTCTGAAATGTTTTTCAACCTGTTGAGATGGAAGCGGGGAGAGGTGTGTTGTGGGATTGTTGTCACAAATAACCCTTTGAACCTACGTTCGTTTCTTATGCGGCTGGGAGCCCTGCGCACATCGCACGCACCGCGTCGCAGGCCACCCCCCAAAGCTTGCTCCGCCGTGAACCCCAAAGAGCCCGTGCCTGATGCGGAACGTGGAATTTGCCGTGCCTGCATCATCTATGGGTGCAAGACTTGCACTACTGAAGGCGCACTGCAGTGAATAGATTCTTGGTAGATGCAGCTCAATGTCTTTTTGCAGGATGGAATCCCAAACACATGAACATTTTATATACTACAAGCAATACTTGTTGCTTGGTGTTGCTTGTTCCCTGGGACAGGCCAAGACACCTGTGCCGAGTGCACCTCCGGCTACCGGCTCACGGCCGATGGGAAATGCGAGAATGCCAACATGATGTACTGGTATCTTGGAGTGTATTTGTTCCCCAAACAGTGTGGTAACACTAGGGGTTCTTACGGTAATGGTTGAGGATGGAACACTTAGTGATAGAATCGACACTTCAATTTTCCATTCCGGTGGTGTGAACACTTCGTATGTGTGAGCTTTGGTATATGAATTGATATGAGTGGCGTTGTGTCCTGTTCCCCAAACATTCCTGCCGATGTGGGGGCGAAAAACTGCAATCTTGATTGGTTGGTCTTCTGACGCCCGGCCCGAAGTAGTTGCAGTTTTTGTGTTCTGTTTCGATTCCGTTCATCCGACGTCCAGTTCCCTGCGTTTTTCGGGTTAACACTCCAATGCCTGCGGTCAACACTCCGTGCTGACGGGTCATGAGCTGACGGGTCATGTTGTCTCTTTCTTTTACGCAATGAGCGTTTTTCACGACTGCTGGTCAACGTCAGGAAGCAAACGACCAAACGAAGCAACGAGAGGTTTCCGCTTTTTTGATGACCAAGGTATGCTCTCTTCGTGACCTTGGGACTGATCACAGCCTTCATCGTGGCCTGGATCGTGGACATTGCCTGCCGTCCCTGTGTCAATGTGCAGGGATTGAAGGGAGCGCTCAATGCTCGATCCCGCTCCAAGGCGGGCACGAAAACATTTATGCAAATGGAATCAAATGTGGACTTAGACCTCGCTGAATGGATTTGAAGGGATCTTCTTTCAATACTCTGGTGGACATCTCTTTCTCTGTATGAGTGAGTTTGGGCCGCAGGTGCGAATGCCCAAGGAGACTGGTTCCTCGGAGGGACGAGAGCTCTATCCTCTTGACACCAACCTTCTTAAGACACCTGTCGCAGGCAGGGCGGTCCAAGGTAAGAACTCACACGATGTCACTCCATGTTGGCGCAGTTCCATTTAGGAGCACGGAGTGGCCACATATGCTCGTACCCACGCTTGCGTCTCCTGTGGTAGGTATTGGCGTGCAACTCCACTTCAACTTTCAGTTTTTCCTCATCGCTTCTCAATGGCAAGGGCATACAGGAAGCTACCAAACAGTGGCTGAATACTTGCAGGGAGTTTAGCATTAGCAACACTTGATAGCATCATCCTTGTAGGTCTGATGCAATAATGGTTTAGATCGGGAGATGTGTCCGATCAATTCTGACCCTACATAATCTTAGCTTATGCATATGTGAGCTTCCATTGCCCTCCCAGAGGTTTGGTCCTTGGCCATTGGCCTTGCTTGGCTTGTTTTAGCGCTCTCTGTGGATGATGCCTTGATGATCCTGGGAACACGAAGGGCGAAGACAGCACGACAGATACCTGGCAAGAGTTCACTTCAAATGCCACAGCCAAACAGGGAAAGTGATGAAAAAGATTGAACAAGTAGCTCCAGGCTTGTGACAGTGAAGCCGAAGTTTGATTCTTTGGCCATTTGGTTGATGGCAGCAAGAATTTTGTTCGAGTCATCCAACGTTTTGAAGTGGTTCTGTTGGGAAGAAACTAAGCTTTTGTCACACGCGACGAGCCTAGGAATTGCATCTTGGTGGCCTGGGGTTTTGAGACCCAGATGCGCCTCATGTGGACCAAGATTGACTTTGTAGTGGCTGCTCCTCGTCCGACGATCCGCTGAAATTTGTCATTGAGCATCATCGGACCACGTGTTCTTTCCAAAGAGATGTACGTATCACTTGAATGAAGATATCGACCACCTTATGTCATGTCATGTCTATTATTATATAGGTGCCCATTAAAAATATGTATAATAAGTATCACTCTAGTGACTCTAGACGCACGCGTGCTGCACGGTGTGAGACCCTGAACATCTCTCGAGGCTTACATCCTGACCTTTCTGGCATGCCTTGGCTTTGCGATCCGACAGCTTCGAATCTTTCAGAAGGTGGATATGCAAAATTCCACGCACAAGGATGGGTTTAGCTTCTGTCATGAGACGCACAGCAATAGAAATGCAGGGGATTGCAGGGGCCTAGCAGCCCCATCGTCACATTTCATCCAATCCTGTCCTGACAACTCCCGAACATGGCAGGACTATGCCGCGCGTATCAGGAACCTGCCTCTCATGGATGGAACCCAGCCTGTGGAGGAGGAATTGAAGAAGCGATCCTCAGATTGACATATCGTCATATAGTTCGTCAGTGGAGTTTCTTGATGTCTTGCTGGACCAGCTTACTTTCTTTTTTTGGACAGTAGAAGGTTCCAACAGCTGAAATGAGCCAAGGATTGGAGGAGGCCACTGGACAGAAGGTGGTGGGTGTGTCAGTCTGCTGGGACTTCCAAGAGCACGAAGATGAGCTTCTGGAAGCTTTGCGAGAAAGATTGGTTGGAGTATGTCTAAATAGGTTTCGTTTGCATAGCCCGCATGGCTTTCAATGTTCGTTCTTTGAGCTTCGTTAGGAGTTGATTGAGAGCAAGCTCGTGGAGAAAGAGGAAAAGCTTCACCCAATGCCCGAAGATCCAGATCAACCAGAGCCTCAGAGCTTCTTTGCTCGCATGGAGCGTTCCATGTTGGCCTCAGATGCTGAACGTGTGGTGGCGAAGGGCGAGATGACTGAGGAAGAGAAGCAAGTGGCTAGGCAAGAGGCTGCAGCTCAAGCAGCCAATGAGGAGGAGGTCATTGAAGAATGCAAGGAGGTGGATGTCATTGGCATCCTGAAGAGCATCAAAACTTGCCCGGATGCCTATGCTATTTTCCAGACTGAAGCAGCTCGTGATGCCGCTGTGGAAGCTTCTTTGCAGAGTGGGGGCATCGAGTTTGGTGGCAATACCTTGAAACTGAATGCCTCCCGTGTTGAACCCCAGACCGTGAACTGGAAGAATTGCGCGAACACCGACATCACCGTTAAGGCCAAGCGCATCATCATGGGCTTCTTTATCATGTTGGCTGGCTTGGGGCTTTGGGTCGTCGCATTCTACCTTCCATATGCTTGGTTCACCTTGACCTTCAACTACTCCTATGGCCAAGAGCCCGGCTTTGTGGCTGGTATGACCTTCTCCATGGTCGTGGTTGCAGGCAACGCACTCATGTACTTGGTGTGTAGTGAGGTTGCAGACCGTACCCGCTTCATCTATGTGGACGACCGAGAGGCACCGTGAATAGACTCATGATGACTCATGTATATATCTTATATATATATATATCAGCTGACAAAACCCAAACCAGAAACGATTTTCAAATAGAGTTGATTAGACACTTATTGGCCATCCAATTTGGTGGTTATCCCATGGAAAGGTGTGCTACATGCTCCTCTATTGCTTTGCGTGTGTCTTCAACGTTGCCTTGGATCTGATTACTACCTACATGGTGGCCTACCGCATCAACGTCGCTAGGCACAAGATGAGCAGCGGTATACGGTAAACCGCCTTGTGCTACACTATCCCGTTGCTTACAGCTCATAACCGATCTTGTATACCAAACATCTTCATCAATAGTATGCATTCCCAGAGTTTTGAACATGTGCACCGTGGGTCTTGAAGACCGGAGTTTGAGGTTGGCTTGCGCATGAAGACCTATGATGGGACTTTGCTTGAGAACCTCCAGCACTTTTCCGATCGCTTTGAGTCCTACGCGATGCAGCGCACCTTGGCCAACAACCTCTATGCCTACGCATTCCCAGCCACTTTCCTTATCCCCTTCTTGATTGAGCCAGTTGCCACAATCTATGCGCCCTACAAGATGATGCTCGCAATCGTCCGCACTCAACCATCCATGAAGGGATTCATGGCCGAGCGTTTGTTGGGGTCTTTGGTCTTTGACCTGTCCCGCTACGCCGACCTCATGTTGGATGTGATGATTGCCGTCCTGATCTTCTTCTTCCCAGGAGGCTTCAACATCCAGATGTTCGTTGGCTTGGCAGGATCGCATGTTTACATCTACTTTTTTGACCATTACCGTGTCTTGCGCTCCATTCAAAGCTGCAACTATGCGGACAAGATGGTAGACTGGTGGAGTCAGTGGATGATGTGCATTCCTTGCGGCTTCATGCTGGCTTGCGTGGTCTTCAAGGCCAATTGCCAACCTGGCTACCCATGTGTGGATGGCAACACGATGATCACCGGAATGGTGGTGGCCTTCTTTGCTCACATCCTTCTTCACACCCTGACCTTGAAGTTTGTCGTGCCCAAATTTGGCCTGGTTGGTGAATCGGATGGAGCTGAAACCAACACCTATCAAGATTGCTCCAGGAGCCAAATTGCGCCGTTTGTGTTTCTTTTCTTCCATAAACAACCAGAAACGGCAGTTGAAGAGCATTGGTTTGTCCAGCTAAATGATTGAGTTAGTGCACGCAACACATGCTTCAAGAGAACTCGACCAGGCGCATTGCTTGCTCTTGGTTCACCGCGAATCCGATCTACTGTCTGCGATCTCAGTACATCTACCAGCACAACCCCCCTTGCGTCTTCTGCATCCCGGGCAAGGAGCACTTGATTGAGACCAATGAGGAGATTGGCCTGTACTTCAACGATTGCCCTGCCAAGGACAGCGCGGAACGCAGCATCTGCAGGTTGCAGAGGCTATATATATATTTACTGTACATATATATATAAATATATATATATATATGTAAATACATACACACATAGCGTTACTCTACACAATTCTTTTTTTTTTTACCGTGCTACTGTTACCAGTATCATTCCATGATATCGCACTTGATCGAGTCTTCAAGTGATTCAAGTGCATTGTACTTCAAGGTTGTTTTGTCCCCCATCAGGAGGAAGACTTTGATGCTCCCCATGTGGATGTGGATGCAGTGAAGGCCAATCTGCAGGAGCTGAAGGGCAAGGCTAGTGAGCACTTTGAGGAGATGAAGGGCAAAGCGACGGAGCAGTTCGAGGAGCGAAAAGACGAAATGCTCCATGTTTTGTGTCCGCCCGTTCTGTCACTGCTGGTGTCCGCCCTTTTCCGCTGGCCATGCAGCATTTCTATTCATTTGTCTTCCAGGTGATTTCTTTACTTCCCCAAACAGGTTACTGTTAGGGGGTCTCAATGCTTTCTAAGGGTGTCCGCCTTTCTGCCGGACAGCGTGTCCGCCTTCCGTCCGGCTTGCCACCCTCTGTCTCCCTTCTTGTTGGCCATTTGTGTCCGCCTTGTTTTCCTCCTGTCTCCCTTTGTCTCCGGTCTCCCTTCTTGTTGGTCATTGTGTCCACCTTGTCTCCCTTCTGTCTCCTTTTGTCTCCCTTCTTGTTGCGCGGTGCCAACCTCTGCCTTGCAATCCTTTCCATTTGTCTCCCAGCTCTGGACTGCTGTGTTGCAGTCCTGTACATGTTTCCCAGCTCCGGACTGCTCTGGGTTGCTGTGTTCGCCTCTCACTTGCAATCCTTTACAATTGTCTCCCAGTTCTGGGCTGCTGTGTCTGCCTCTGCCTTGCAATCCTTTATTTGTCTCCAAGCTCTGGGCTGCATGTCGCTTGCAATCCTTCCTTTACACCTGTCTCCCTGTGTCTACATCTGTCTCCCAGCTCTGGACTGCTGTGGCCGCCTCTGCCTTGCAATCCTTTGTCTCCCAGCTCTGGACGTCGCAAGC